TTAAGTTTTATTTATTACAAACCAAAATTTTGGTATATGATTTTTGACTATATGACCTTGGATTGCATAAAAGGAAAACACGATATCATATAATATTCTCGATAGAAAAAAATTACAAAGTAGGCTCTAATTATTTACATTTCTCCATGACACCACAGTATTCTTACGAATAAGTTCATGGAATTATTTTTAAGGCATAGTAAATAATCATATCTAAGTTCACATAAACCAGTTTTTTAATCCATAACGAAGTTTTGTTAAAATGTTTTGGCGCTTACGTAGTTTTTTCCGAGCGCTTGCTCGGTATGGCTATCTCATAATTTGCGTACTATGAAGTCATTGCATCACTTTCATTTTGACACTCCCTCGGTCGTCCGTTAGCTTCACCGACAAAGGAATAAGCCACGCCCCAAAACTCCGATTCATTTTCAAGGTATCCTCTTAATGGCGCCATTTTAGACTAAATCTAGAGATCTATTTAACTTAACTTTCCTAGCCTTTTATTAAAATGTCCTCCCCCCTTCTTTTTCCTATCTATTTGAAGTGAAAAACTAACTTACATTCCACCTAGTAATAAGCTAAACCCCATGGGCACCTGCAACGAGTTGGATGAAAGCAGCAACCAAAGAATTAGCATAAGAAAAAGGAAAAATGACAGGAATAATAATATGTTATGACAGGATACTTAGGTATAAATGGAAGTTGAAGCAAAGAAGAGAGCATGGCTCGATATACGAGTACTATAACTACTAAAGCTGGTAATTCTGGCTGTATGGATGATGAGTTTGAAAAAAAGCAGTTTTTAGTCATCAAAGTAAGAGCAAAAGAAGCAGTAGAGAAAAAAGATGGAAGCAATAAGTTTAAAAGCAGGTTTAAGTGTGAGAAGGCATCTGAAGTAAATTAACAGAAACAGAAACATTTTAATTCAATATAGATTATAAACAATACTTATTGAAAGTCACTTTTCTTTGATTTACTACTGGTATGGAAAAAACCTCTGTCCTGAGAAGAACCAGCAAGAAACCCAACGACTTTTTCTTGTTTTTTTTTATATATATAGGAGAAGGGTAACAAATGGGCACACAGTCTACGTGATGGTAAGTGGATGCTGTAGCCCGTAGATATCTACATTTATCCTCGATTAAGAATCAAAACGAAAACTCGTTGTCACCCCTGAGGACTAAGATGGAATGCCTGGTTTCCAGTTAAAAAGGGTCTCCGGATCTCTACATTCACCATACGAAACACAGCAGTATTATGCTGCTATTTTACGCTGGTATTCTGTGAGAGCGTGGTCCTTCCCCGGTAGAACTGACCCATTCGTGCTACAATCATAACATAGCTGCATCGTGGCTCTACCACGTATATAAATAACAGCTTACATTCGTCCTTTAATATATTATGTTACACAATTAACAACACAAAACAAATTAGAAATATCTTAGTAGCGATCACCTCATTCCCGCGGATTATTATCATCCATAATTTCTTTAGCATTATCTTTTTTTTTTCTTTTAAAAACGTTACCTCCACACTAGGATTTTCTCCTGTATCATGGGGGCAGTTTACAAACATAAACTTCACAAGGACAAACATCCAGACCCGGAACAATTACTTGTAGGCCATACAAATATTTGTTCCGTGCGGGATTCGAACCCGCGGCCCTTAGCGCTGTAACTCATTGCTAAGCCACTGCGCCACGGAGGCGTCATTATAATAACCCTTTTTATACGAACTTAGTTTAGTAAAGTTTATGAACTGAAGCAGGTCAAATTTTGAATATTTTGAAGAAAGAATGAATTGTTGACTCGGTGGAGTCGAATAGTAGCTGGTCCTAATTGTTTGTATGCTCATAGTAGAATATCACTTATTTTTGTAATACTACTTTTATTTTGGTGTACATACATTACATAAATGTATTGAAAAACCAAGGTTAATATATTAATTTCATTAGATTTTATTGACTCTTTTGGCTTTATATCATAAATTGCTCTTATGGCCTTATTCTGTAAAACAAATATAATTTCAGTGTCAGTCACGTGTCCCCATAGCAAAATATCATACGATATTATGCTATGGAAATAGCTATGGTAAACTACTCTAGCGGTTTCGACACTAGTGAGATTCCAATTTTTTTTACAGCATATGCTGCAGAACTAAGTCTGCTTGCTAGTTTTGATATATGGACGCTATTAAAGCTTTCACCAGTAACACTAAAAGAAAAGGAAGGAGGTAATGAGATAAATATGGATGAAATAACGAAAGCGATGAAAAGCATGAACACAGGTAAGGCAGAGCTGGCTATGATAAAATAACATTAGAAACATCTAGAGCCGGAGAGAGAAAGGTAGCAAGCCTGCACTTTCAAAGCTATTATAATTTCACTTCCTTTATAGAGAAAAGGGACACAGCAGGTCTGTAGAAACTACCGTAGAATTACCCCGCTTAACATTATCGGAAAACTATACGCTAAGGTATTGATAGAAAGACTGATGTTGATTGTAATCTGGATTTAGAAAGGGAATAGGTTATACGGATCAGATCTATGCACATGATGACAGAGAAGTTTTTGGCCAAAAACCAGAATATAGTCTGTTCATTTTTATGACAGTAACCACATGACATGGGTTTTAATGGAAAACGCTGACCATGTTTAGATTGAGAGCGGGCGGGGTTATGTAGATTATGAGTTACTGTTTAATCTGTATGTCAGTTGAGACAGTTGTTCGAAAGCCTAAGAATGTGAATCTTATCTATCTAATACTTTTAAACGAGTAATTCTTGCATATATGTATAATCGGAATCTCGGAAACGGCTCCAACGATTTTCTTAAAATTTAGGTGTCAAGTTTCGGGGGCAATAAATCGATCTAGCTAGGATTTATTTTTAGAAAATGTCGTTTTGTCCGTGTTTTCGGCCAATGAAAAACTGCTACAATATAAGAAGGTAAATTTTGGTAGCGTTTTGAGGATTGTATTGGCTCAAGTGGGAAATCAGGCGGTCGTAGTACCCTGGTTCGAGTCCTGTCATCGGTCCGACTTTTATTCCTTTTTTTTTCAAGTTCCCTTCGTTTGTGAGAAAATCTGTTATGTCGGGCCCTTTTTTACTATTTTTTTAAAAACACGAAAATTTAAATTAAACTAATTGCACTCATGATTTTTTATTCAAATAACCAGTTCAGTTTTTCTATTATGTCAATGCGATCAAAAAATATTATTCATGTTTCATCAGTATGTAATTTGTATCTATATATAATTTTCAATTTTCAAAACACAAGATTTCCAAACATAATACCGAGCAAAGCTCGGTCATCCAGGTACTTAAGAATAAATTAGTTAAGATTATTTAGACGTCGAATGACCCTTGTTTGCCGAAGATCAAATCAAATTTGCATCATCGAGTTACATCTCATGGTTAAAATAGTGAACATATCATTAAAAGAAAGGTGAATGCAAATGAGCATAATCAAAACGAAAGTGATAGTTTTTGAGAGAGGAGAACGTAAAACTATACGTGAAATAAGAATAGAATGGGTTGAGTAAGTAGATGTGTGTATTCGGGCTAGTAGACATGACATATATAGCGAAAAGTGAATGAAAAATACAAATTGGGCTCTTCACTCTATTGTAGGTAGTCAGAATTTGTCTAAAAGGCACGTATGGCAATTAACAATGTTGTGCTAATCACCACAGGGACTGATTCCTACTTTAATGTATGGTGGTGAAAGTTGGGTATGGCAGAAGAATAAATGTCGTATTTATTCTGTAGAAATGAGTTCATTAAGAAGTACTTTTGTTAGGAGTGACAACTATTGACATGATCGGAAATCATATGATGAGAGAAGTGTGATTTGCACGATGATATGACTAGGATTAAAAAGGGGGAACCTCGCTGCAGCTATATTATAGAGTTTGCTCGAATGGGTCCGGGTACCGGGTAAGGACTACGCTCTTACAGAATACCAGCGTAATGCTGCTGCGTTTCGTATGATAAGTGTAGAGTACCGGAGACCCTTTTTACTGGAATCGAGGCATTCCATCTTAGCCCTCAGGAATGACAACGCATTTGCATTTTGATTCTTAATTGTGGGATGTCTATGGACCACAGCATCCACTTATCATCAGGCGGACTGTGTGCTCGTTTGTCACCCTATGTTATAAAAAAGGGATTGCTTCAATGGCTTAGACACCTCAAACATTTATGAAGAAAGAGTGACAAATCAAATTTATGTTGCATAAGTACGTGGCAGATTCGGGAATGGACGCCGTAGACAAAAGTTTTTCAACCAAATTGTTGATATAATGAAGACATGGGCAAATTAAGAGTACTCTTAATCGTTAATCATATACGAGTAGAACTGAAAGAAATGTAGATGTGTGTCAGGATCGTATTAATCCACAATTGTAAAAATAAATCATCCTTTTAGAAAATTACTTTGGCCTTGTTTTAAAAATAAGCGACCTCTTGCTGGTAACTGCTGTTCGTTGCATCATTTGTGGTGCGGTAACAGTGCCGCCATAATACTATTATATTGAATTTTTCCGCCGTGTTTCTCTGATTTATTTATTCAATCCAATCTCGATGTCTCCTACGTCTATTTGAGCTTTATAGTAAGAATTAAAAGGGATAGTTCAAAGCAAATCACATTTCTTTACAGACGAGTTATTTAGTCCTTATCGTCAACAGTATACCTAAGGCTAAAGCAATCATACCATCGTTTAAGATAGGCAATAAATCGTAGAGTATCGAAGCTGATTATAATATAAAATTGCCTTGACATGTTCGCGTTCATTAACTACTACACAGTTTCGATATTTTTAAATTTAAAACTATGCAGAGAAAAAATAAATGTCTAATGCGTCTATGATATTAAGTTAAATATTTCAAGTGACTCGTGTTTTATTTTTCTGTTATTAAATCATGTTGTTCTGCGCAATGCTCTTTTTATTCCATTTTAATACAAAATTCTTGGAAATGTCGCACTGCATCTTCTGAGATTTTTAGCTCGTTGGGTATAAATACGATAAGTCCATCGCGTTCGCGTTATCCACTTCAGCGATTTGGACAGTACAATTTGGTTCCGATTTTTTCATTACCAATGTATTTTGCCCAGTTTTCTTTATCTCTATTAATTCGTGGGAGTTCATAACCTTCTCGTACCATACTTGGTTTACTGATTTTAATTCGTAATGAGGCGTTGTGGCTTTAAGGTTGAAATGTATCCGTCTTATATGGTGTTTCAGCTGTTGATTTTCCAAGAAAGTTATACGACAGACGTCACATATAAATGAACATTTCAGCCTATACGGTTTCGTGCATCTGAAACAGAAAAAAAACCTATTAAATCACGTCTGACTATGTAGATTGTAGATTGGTTTGGTTGATTTGATTAAAGACGAGCTACGCAACGGCGTAATTTGTTATCGGATATCGTAGGCTTCTTATATAACGTTACCTCCACTCTAAGATTTTCTACCGGATCGTGAAAGCACTTTACAAACATAAATTACACAAAGACAACGACGGAACTCGGTATTTGTAGGCCATCCAAATACTTACACACTACTCTTACACTGATATACATATATACAAAAATAATGTTTATAAGTTTGTGAAATATTGAAAGTTTTCACTTTTGACGTGCAGTTCTACGACTGACAGTTTTTTTTAAATAAAATTAATTTAACCTGTACTAAATACTACTTTACATTATACAATAGCACTTATGTTATCCATTGTGATGGGATCCATCAAGAAAAGCCAATGGAAATTTATCACTGTTAAATAAGACCACAAGTCGTAGTATTAAATCAATGATCAATATTTAACGTTCAATTTTTCCACGCAACAAATTTTTCTGAATACCAATCTCTATATATAAAAATCAATTGTTGACTTTTAGTCCAGTTAAAACTCAAAACGGCTCGACCAACTGATGAAATTTTTGTATGTTTGAATGGGACTCTGGGTTTTTTATATTCACAATTGAACTCAGTAGGTGGCGCTGTTGTCGAGATCCAGAAATCACCCGTCCGAAGCCGGGGCGGTTCGCTAGTAAGTTATAAAAAAAGTGACAAACAAATTCAACATATTTTGACAAGCTACCAAATTTAAATCATTATTTCTCATTGGCAATTCAACTAAAACATAGTGATTTTATTCTTTTTAATTTAAATTTAGCCAGTTCTAAAACTTTCAGTGTCACCCTGGTATTCGCTAGTAAGTTATAAAAAAAAATTACAAACAAATTCAATATATTTTGACAAGCTACCCAATTCAAATCATTATTTCTCATTGGCAATTCAACTAAAACATACTGATTTTATTCTTTTTAATTTAAATTTAGCCAGTTCTAAAACTTTCAGTGTATTGACAGGCAATTTTTTAATTTGATAATTAATACTTAAACCAACAAAATTTTGTCAAAATAATAATAAAGTCAACCTTCTTAATAATCCTAGCTGGAGTGAGGCTAAGCCCACTACGGACTTGGACCCAAGTGAAAATATCAATAACTGAATCAAACATCTATAAACATTAGAAACTATTGAGATAAAGATTACATGTCTGTAAAAGTTTTTTTTTTTTTTTAACTTTTTTTTTTATTTGGTGTCAGTATTTGGTGGTATTTGGAAGATGAGAAATCACTCATATATCTATATGAAGTGTTTTTCTTCAAAGAAGATTGTACAACCAAATTTGCCACCACATAAATTTAAAAAACACCAAAGCTCTTTATTTATACACACCGGTAAAACATTATTATAAACATATACATAAACACATGCCTGTCACCCTGGGCAAAGACTACAGACTTCCATTGGGCACGATCCTGACACACCTCTCTCGCCTTCTCCACATCCATATACCTACTCATACATGCTCATTGGTTAAGGGTACTCCTAATTTGGCCCATTTTCAATATATCGCCAATTTGATCGATAAACTTTCGTCTAGGACATCCCTTTCAGACTCTTCCATTCCCTTCTGCAACATACATTTGCTTTGTCACTCCTTCCTCAATTTCTTTCCTTCCTGGTGAATCTCAACCAATCCTAATTAAGAAAGACTGCCCGCAGGGTGGGGTTCTCTCACCTCTCCTGTGGAATATGGTCATTAATGAACTCATCAGCAAATTAAATACTAATCACTTCTATACAGTAGGTTATGCTGATGACCTGACTATACTTGTCTCGAGAAAGACAGCAAGCTTAGTGCGCGACCTGACCCAAGCGGCTCTCCGTATAGTGGAGAGATGGTGCAGGGAATATGAATTAACCGTCAACCCAAATAAAACGGTTTTAGTAATGTTCACACAAAAACGAATGCTGAATAACTATCATCTTCCAAGTCTTTTCAGCACAAAACTCCAGCTATCCTCTGAAGTAAAATATTTAGGTCTTACCTTGGACAGCAAACTTAACTGGAATAAACACATAGAAAACAAAATCAACAAAGCTAGTATAACTTTCTGGCAATGCAGAAACATGATTGGCAAAAGATGGGGACTGACACCAAAAATCATACTGTGGCTTTACAAAACTGTAATTCGGCCCATGATCACATACGGCGCTCTGGTATGGTGGACCAAGACAAATGATGCCACCACAATTAAGAAGCTTCAGCTCTACCAGAGACTGGCATGTATGGCTGCCGTAGGCTGCATAAGAACTACGCCAACAGCAGCCTTGGAAGCGATGCTGGAGCTAACTCCGCTTCATCTACATATACAACAAGAAGCGACTTTAGCTGCCATCAGACTCAAGACCCTAAATCTTTGGAGTAAGAATAGTGTCCCTCATACAGGCATAATTGATAGAATTCACTCAGAAATTCCTATCCTACAAGCCAAATACGATAGGATTCCTAAACAATTCGTTTTCGATAAGAAATACAAGATACAATTAAATAAAAACAGCCAGCCGGAAGGATTAAGCCCAAAAGAGCTTAGAATTTTCACCGATGGTTCTAAAACAAATGAAGGTGTAGGTTCTGGAGCTTTCTCTGAAGACCTCAATATTCACATATGCACACCGCTGGGTACCTATAACACGGTCTTTCAGGCGGAATGTATGGGTATCATTCAAGCGGCCATAGCAATAGATGCTAGGAAGGTTAATGACTTCCCCATCAGAATACTGACCGACAGTAGGGCGGTACTACAAGCTCTGAGTTGCAATGGGGTGAACTCGGGACTAATATATGAATGCCATCAACGATTAAATGAGGTACATATGTAAAAACAACAATGTGACTCTGCAATGGATAAAGGGATACAGTGGATCCAGAGGCAACGATGCAGCGGACGAACTGGCCAGAAGAGGATCGGCTCTGGCCACTATAGGGCCGGAACCAATCATACCAATCCCCTTTGGTAACGTTCGTTCAATGGTACGTAGACACTTCACTAATCAACACGCTCAGCATTGGAAAAATCTAGTAGACTGCAGACAAGCTAGGGAGGCCCTACCTGTAATAAACAGTCGCTTAACCAAAGTTCTAATGAGACTGAACAAGCCGCAGATCAGGATAGTAACAAGTGCTATCACAGGACACGGCACCTTTAACAAACATTTATTTACTATAGGTGTTACAGATAGTCCCCTGTGCAGGGCATGTATGGGGGAGGAAGAAACGGCGGCCCACGTGCTACTGAAATGTCCGGAGGTCGCTACGTACAGGGCTAAACATCTCGGCACGCCGGGATCACTCCCCGAAGTTGCATGCAACATCAAGGGACTGTTGAGCTTCTTCGGGGAGATCTCATGGCTCGAATAATCACATTATTCCTGTGGCACAATTCCGAAATACGCGCATAGACGTGGAGTTGCGGAAAACAGCCCGTCGCAAACTAAACATCACTCCTTCCTCATTCATTCTTTCTACATGACCAAACAACCGAAGCATTCTTTTCTTAATCCTGGTCACAGCATGATATTGCAAACCACAGTCTTTTTTATCACACAATTTCTCACCCTGTCACTCAGATTCAGCCCAAACATACTCCTTAGTGACTGCATTTCTACTGCATTTATTCTACTCTCATGCTTCTTCTGCCACATTACTATAAAATTTTATCCAAATCATTAGAGCCTATTGATACATAAAGCTTATTCAAAATATTGATTCAAAAGCTGTAGATATGCTGAGTTTATATAAAAAGATCTGTAAAATTCGATTCATTCACTAACATTGATTGTATGCTCAAGATAATTTTTCCCATTGAACATTTGTACATTCTATTTTTAAATATGCCAAAAAAACTCCTGTTATGCAATAAATGGCTTTACAAGTTGATTATATAATAATTGAACACTGAGTTATATCTTTTGTCACACATACACAATTTAATATTTTTTCATATATAATTTACTTATATACATATCTGTTATCCTACCTGTCATCTAATATTCAAAGATTATTTAACTAGTGACTCGTACAGAAATAAATATTAAAGAAAAAAATATTCTAATGTTAAAAAACTTTAGAACCTTTTAGGCACCTTTGTCATCAAAGGTGGCCCCATTTTTAGAGGACACAATGTGTTTTCTTTAGCCACTTCATCTTTTACTATCAAAGACTCAGATTTTTCTTCTTCAGATTTAAATTCTTGTGTAGTCATGATAATTAAAGTACCTATCTACTACAATTAAAATAACATATAATGATAATTAAGTAATCCGGGCAAAACCATAGAAAAACCGTTAACTATAGCTCAATAATTTAAAAATTCAAAAATAAATAATATTAAAGAATTTGATGTGAAAAAGATTTGATGAAGATGATTGTGTTCACATTTTGCGTATCGCGAATCACATAAAAAGAAAAAAATATTTTTTATATTGGAAAATGTTTTATCACTTTCTAATAAAATCCGTTCTATAAAAAGTAATTGCTTTCTACACTATAATCATAAGGAAATAAATACATAGCTTTCTAAAAATCGTTTTATATAGGCCCGAGAAACAATTTTACTTCTGTTTCAGTCTCAACTCTCAACATGACGTTGACAGTTGAAACTCGATAAATTGCCACTTGACAGAAACACAGGCGGGTTAGGGCTAAGTCCATGGTCAGGGACGGTCAGGATGAGTGGTTTGATAGCATGGATGTAAAATTATCCATTACGATATAAAATCATTGCGACAAAGAATTTCAAACTTCCAAAATGTCCACGTACACTGATCCAATTAAATGGTGCCGATTGGCTATGTTCGGTGAAGTTTTAATGTTTTTCACGAACATGCCGCGCGAAACGAGATTAACAGTAGATGAAAGTAGTTTAAAAGTAGAGCGGTTGAATAGCGAAATAACCGATGCGATTTTTAACAATAATAGAACTTTAAATATGATCACGTAATTAGATCAGGTGTTCTAAATTAATTAATCATAACCATAAAATAAGTGATGTTTTAAAAATTGACGGCATTTGAACCCAGTTTAGGCATAGTATTTGTAAAATATTAAAATAACACTATTATTTAGTTAGTAAAGCACACATTACAAGAATTTCAAACGTTCCTAGACCGACGTTCATATACGACGTTATAAATGTGATAAAGTGAAAGAGATTTTTACTGTGATTTTTATTTAGAACGACAGTCTATAGCAATATAACGATTTTGCATACGTCTAATAGTAATCAAGAACCAGTATAAAAACTGTTTACCATTTTTCATAATATCTTGTTACTTTTTACTCAAGAGTATGATAGTAAATAAATAACTATTAATAATATTAATTAATTAATATTAATTATTGTAACTATATACTCATATCACTGTTATTACATGAGATAATATAAAATATGTGCTATGGAAATATCGATATTAAGAAAAATACATCCCTATTCCCTAGACACTAGTTACTGTTCGACTTTTTGATTTTGATCATAGATAAATAAATATGTAGATTTTGATTTTTAATCATGCTTGTTAGCTGTTTTTGATTAAACGGAATTGCAATTGCAATTGCCAATTTAAATTATTGCCAAATATCATTATATTATCTTCATAGCATTTGCCAATTGCTATGAATTAATTTTGTTTGTTTTTTATTGCGAGTGATAATTAGCAAATGTAACCCTGACCGTTTTGTTTTTAAGTCTATTTTTGTTTTATTGTGAATTTATTATTTGTCATCACCTACCTTCGTGTTTTCCTCTTTCTTGAGTTTATGCTAAATGTTCAAAATGGGTAAAAATAAAATGATCGCGAAAAGTTGCCCAAAATGCGAATTGCAGGTAAAAAATATGTGTTTATTACTTCATTGTTCTTTTTAACCTTCTGTATGTACAGGAATTTAAAGCTATGTAAATGTGCTCCTATGTAGAGTGTATTAATGTGATATTTTTAAAACTTATTTCGGTTTTAATTAATATAACATTAACAATAATTTTGTAGCATATGTCATATTTTTGTAGCCTTGTATTATATGATGTAAGCAAAAGATTTTTTACTTCTCTTCGAAACAGGAAGTGCCTCACAATTTGTTATCTTTACATGATAAAGCCAAGCTGTAGCTATATTGTGGTTGTTGCACTAATGGGCGAGCTTAACCAGAGTGGGACCACACTGTCACAGAATACCAGCATAAAATAGGTAGCAGCTTAATGCTGCTGTGATTCATATGGTGAGTATAGAGAACAGGAGACTATTTCTACTGGAAACGAGGCATTCCATCTCGCCACAAGGGTGACAATGTATCTTGATTCTTAATTGAAAATAAATGTAGATGTCTATGGGCCACAGCATCCACTTACTATCAGGTGGACTGTGTGCGTGTTTGTTACCCATACTCTATAATTTTTTTTTTAAATTCCATGATTACATGTCATGGCAGTAGTAGGATTGCTGGCAAATAAAAAATTATCAAATATCCATCATACAGGATTGAAAAAAAGTTAGTTAAAGTTAAAGGCTATGTAGGTCCTACTGCTGGGCACAGGCCTCTCATATCTGAGAGGGTTTTAGGGCAAAGGAGTGTCTGCCACGCAGCCCCAACGCGTGTTGGTAAACTTTACATGTCTTCGAAATATTTTTTTTTTCTTATTTCTCAGACATGCAGGTTTCCTCATGATGTTTTCCTTCACTGCCTGCCTTCGAGCTTGCGGTAAATCAGCACTTTAAAATTGCAATTAGCAATTTCATTGGTACCGGTGGTGATCGAATCCGGGTTGCTTGCATACTGTGATATTTATAAATAGGATTAAGAAATGTTTTCTAATATTATTAGAGTTCTTATTTAAGTTCTAAAAATGGTATCACTTGTTCATATGATAGCAGTTTTGATTCCTATTAAGCCTTTAAATATATCAGGTTCAAAATAGTGAATTTTTTAATGTTGAAGTTTAGTTTTGTGGTGATACAGTTTAATGTTATATTATTACTTTTTTTTTATAGAATAGGGTGACAAACGAGCACACAGTCCACCTGATGGTAAGTGGTTGCTGCGGCCCATAGACATCTACATCTATCTTCCATTACAAATCAAAATGCAGATGCGTTGTCACCCGCGAGGACTGAGATGGAATGCCTCATTTCCAGTAAAAAGGGTCTCCGGTTCTCTACACTCACCATACGAAATTACAGCAGCATTAAGATACTATTTCACGCTGGTATTCTGTGAGAGCGTGGTCCTTCCCCGGTCGAGCCGACCCATTCGTGCTACAACTATACTACTAATATAACTGCAGCATGGCTCTACCACGTAAAATCATAACAGGACAATCAATTATATCAACTTAAGTTGTAAATATTTGATTTATTTTAGTAATAATAAACAATAATATTATAACACACGGTCTAATTGTTTGTTTATACTATATTAAACTCCCACACTAAACAACGAAATCATAAACATGGAAAAAATTGCCTCCAAGACTAGACCTCTCTGTGATTAGTTTTAAAAACAAACTGGATATTTCTTTAAAGAATAAAGGTGACATACGAGCACACGGTTCACCTGATGGTAAGTGGATACTGCAGCCCATAGACATCTACATTTATCCTCGATAAGGAATAAAAATGCAGATGTGTTGTCACACCTGAAGACTAAGATGAAATGCTTCATTTCCAGTAAATAAGGGTCTCCAGATCACGAAACACAACAGTATTAAACTGCTATTTTATGCTGGTACTCTTTGAGAGTGTGGTCCTTCCCTGGTCGAGACAACCCATTATTGCTACAACCGTAATATAGCTGCAGCATGGCTCTAACACATGTAGATGGTGCAAAGACAATCCAGTTTAGTGTATTCTTGGTGTGGACTTCGACTATTAAAACACCAACACAGACATAGGCATATTATGAGCTATAATTTCAGATATTGGTTTGTCCTCTGCATTGACCCTTTGTCTCGTAAAAAATCCTTAAATTTGTAATAAATATATTGTGGGTCACTTATCGGGATATAAACTATCCTATCTCTGAAATTGGATTAAACTGCACACAGATAGCAAAGTTTTATTGAGTTCAGTAGTTTAGGAGTTCATCGCAGAGAAATTATGTAACCCTTTTTACTGGAAACGAGGCATTCCATCTTAGTCCTCATGGATGACAACGCATCTGCATTTTGATTCATAATTGATGTAGATGTCTATAGGCTACAGCAACCACTTACCATCTGATGGACTGTGTGCTCATTTGTTACCCTATCCTATAAAAAAATGTTATTTTTTAAATAATAATAATAATAGTCTTTTATTCCTAAACATAGGGTTACAGGGGGTCCCTAAGTTCGGTGTGCCTTTTGGCATAGGCCTCCTCCAATTCCTTCCAATGGTTCCTGTCCTTAGCTACTCTCAGCCAGAATGGTCCCGCTGTCTGTTTCAAGTGCTCTTCCCGTCTCCTGACTTGACGAACCCTGCCTCTTTTGCCATCTCTTGGTTGCCAGGGAGTGACTTGCTTGCTCCATTTGTTAATGTGGTGGCGTAGCAAATGTCCAGTCCATCTCCATTTTTGGATGTCTATCATTATTTTTTATATATAAAGATAATATGAGCACGGTGTTCTATACCCTTAGGTAGCTGTTGCTTTAAAGGCATGTAAATGTGGTCACGCATTCTTTTCGGCGCGCCGCGGTGCTGATGCTTTACCAGCGGCTGAAGACATCAGGAGGAGGACTGGAAGAGTGAGACGTTCACAGCCACAGTTCTATGACTCGCAACACTATCAGAAACAGAAGAAAAAAGTATGTTTTGCTGTTGTTACTATCGTTTAAAGAACATTTCTTTTGTTTTTACTACATACATCAGTTTCAGTAGCCAAGTATTGTTTTTGGTTGCTTATCTTCATCGGCCATTAATAGTGCACTCAAAGACATGGACCTCGAATATTGTGGAAATAAAAATTGATAGAATGATTGATTGAATATGTGGTAGAGCTACACTGCATCAACCTTATAGTTGTATCACGAATGGATCATCTCAAATTGGGTATGGCCACACTCACAAAATACTAGCATGAAATAGCAACACAATGCTACTGTGTTTCATGTGGTGAGTGCAGAGAACTTAAGACCCTTTATACTGGAAACGAGGCATTCCATCTTAGTCTTCAGGGGTGACAACGCATCTGCATTTTGATTATTTATCGAGGATAAATGTTGATGTATATGGGCCACGGCATCCACTTACCATCAGCTGGACTGTGTGCTCGTTTGTCACCCTTATTCTTTAAAAGAAAAATTTGTAGAAAGCAGTTTTGATGAGGGATATCTCCCTTACGAGGCAATCTATATGGGAGGCCGATGTTCAGCGGTGGACTTTAATAGGCTCTAACGGTGATGGTAACAGGCTGATGACGATGTGGTGTAAAAGACTCCATAATCCTAGGGTTCCTATCCCATGTGAGTATTGTAAGATGTGACTATCGAATAAGCCAAAAAGCTCTTAAGGTTTCCTATGAACAAATATGACAGAATAGACACATTTTGGACTGTAATTGTTAATCATTAGCATGAGTCTTATTGCATAGTTGACATATTTGATCAAAGCATTACAATTCAGAGTATTGAATAAACAACACAGTTTAAAAGAACAATAAGCTAAAGTGGTCATGGGCCATATAGCTCGTGGTAGAGCCAAGCTGCAGCTATATTGTGGTGTCAGCATGAATGGGTCGGCTCGACCAGGGTAGGACCACACCTCTCACAGAATACCAGCATAAAATAGCAGCTTAATGCTGCTGTATTTCGTATGGTGAGTGTAGAGAACCGGAGACCCTTTTTACTGGAAATGAAGCATTCCATCTCAGTCCTCAGGGCTGACAATGCATCTGCATTTTGATTCTTAATTGGAGATAAATGTAGATGTCTATGGGCCACAGCATCCACTTACCATCAGGTGAACTTTGTTCTTGTTTGTCATCCATATTCTATTAAAACAAAACCAGGCCTCTATCACTCTTGCTATCTACGTGAAATAATTACCAAAAATCACGAAGCGCCCGGGCGAAATAACGCTGTCAGGTCTAGCGCGTTGGAGGCGATTAAATGTTAAAGTTTTTTAACGCTGTTTACGTATATATAACTTTTTGTAAATATTGTTGAAATAGTTTTTGATTAGTGTTTAGTATATTTAATTATAGGATAAAGTAGTTCAAAAGTTTTAATGTAATATAAGAACTATATGTTATGTATATTACCCATTATTTAATAAATTTTAATATGGCAAAACGTCGTTCCTACTATAATTATTGCGTGGATAGACGCTAAATGACCAACAAAATATTTCAGATGTATTATTCTTTATTACCGAAGGATTTTAGTAGGAAGTTACGAAACGTGAATTTATTCAATTTTTATTGTTAGATAGGTACTTATAGCAAAAAAGAATTAAGTAATAATTTATTTAATATCCACGAACTTTATTACAAAATTTAGTAGAAATTTACTTTTCACTGTCTAAGTATCTACTTACGTACATATACTTGCCTTTTGTACAAGCTAAAATAACACAAAACACTGAAATCAAAACTTTGTTTACTAACAAAATTTTTAATTAAGTAGAATACGATAACATTTCTGTTAGGAATCGTATTTCAAGTTTATTTGTTGTTTACACTATCTACCTTTTCCTTCCGAGCCAAGTGTCGCGATTCCCGACGAACGGCATTGCAAGTTGCATGCGTTAGGCATCGCAAAACTCACGTAGGTTCGAAAATATGGTCTGTCGATCATAGTCAGAATAAGTATTTCACCTAAGTAACCTAATTAATATTTCGCAATGTATTTTGTTACTCTTTATTGATATCCCTCCATAACAACGGAAAGTCCACCGTAACGTAGGAAGAGGAAAATGTGCAAAGTAATACGGACACTCTCGCGCAGTGATAAAGTTTTATTTAGCTTGCGAGCGCGATTTATCTAATTAATAATAATTATGTAGGCTATTAAACGTCGGCAAGCAGTCAACATTAAAAGAGTGAAACTTCTGCACGTAGTACTATTATTTATGCTGTGACAAAACTAACAACCTGATAAGCAATGTTAGATGACTCTCTACTAGATGGGACTTTGTGAGACATGTAGGAGGTTGATGAATGAAATTGACATTACTTGGGAGAGACCTATGTTCAGCAGTAGAGTTGTGAAGTCCTAATGATGATGGTGAATGGCTACATTTCTCCTTGCTTGGCAAGTCAATTCAAGGCGCATTAAAGGTGAATATAATATCACTCATTTAACGACATTAAATTTCATCTTCATATTTTTGCTCCCTGCTGGTCTACGGATGAAATTTTAGTGATTATACTTGATTGATTGAAAATTCCATCCAGAACTGCGCATAGATCCCGAAGTCACTTTCTGTTTTTTAGAGAGCTTTATTATGCCTGCATCACCAATTGGTGAGCCCCACCAAAGAAGACCCATGCTCTCACAGAACACCATAGTGAAATGGCTTCATAACGCTGTTGTGTTTTGTGTGGTGCGTGTAGCGAACTGGAGACATGTTTTATTGGAAAGAAGGCATTCCATCTTAGTCCTGAGGGGTGACAACACTGTAGTCACTGGTGATATAAATGTAGATGTCTATGGGCCCACAGCCTCCACTTACCATCAGGTGGAATGTGTGCTCGTTTGTCACATCTATGGTTGTAGCACAAATAGGTTGGCTCGACCGGGATAGGGCTACGCTCTCACAGAATACCAGCGTAAAACAACAGTTTAATGCTGCTGTGTGTCATATGGTGTGTGTAGAGAACCGGAGACCCATTTTACGGAATAGCTGCTGCGTGGTTCTAACATATACATATGTATTTTATTTGTTTTATTGATATGTATTTAGATTTTCTATTTGATTACTTTCAGTCGCCAAAGAAGAGAACATTGTCCAACGCTATTGATAGAGGCTTAAAGAAGGAAAAGGGAGAAAGTGGTGAGTGTGGCGTTACTTATATTTATACGTATATACGAAGCTTGTCACCTGTCATGATCATTTTTTTAAGTTAACTGGCTTTACGGCTTTGGGTTCTAGCCCTTCTGAGCCTATCATCTCTTTCGGGATCTTCATTTTTATAGATTTTTTCCTTCACAATACGCTGATGCGCCACATTGTGAAGTTTTTGGGAGATTTTGACGACAGCTCAACCCAGCGGATAGTTGATGACGATAGCCGCTCAAGTTCATAATGCTAAGCGATCAAATAAGGTTTATATCAACATCGAAGCACTTGTTTCGTCGTTTTATCTAATAGTTCACACGCGCAGACACTTAATTCACAAAAACACATTTACGAATTAAAATCCACTTCAAACCATTATTTAAGCCAAGTTCCCGCCAAAACTCCCCTGTCACGATCAGATAACGGTTTTGCCTACGCGTAGTGAGACCCAGTTTGAAAGGCGCGAAACGTCTGGTAGTGCGATGGTCAATTTGATTGTTAAACGTGACGATTAAGGCAAATTGCGTCCCTATAATGGTAAAAGAGTTGAGGTGCATGCCCAGCAGTGGAGTTAAACTGATTGTAGAAGGAGACAGGCAACATTACCAATGATTATACATACCTTGAATATTGATTCTGCACTCATCAACCCGTCTGTCTTTAATGATTCAATCTTAATTATGTTTAACAGAAGAACTTTTTAAGTAACAATTATCAAAGGATTATTGACACATCGTATACTTGGTAGAGCTACGCTGCAGCTATATTATGATTGTAACACGAATGGGTCGGCTCGACCGACGACCGACCACGCTCTCACAGAATACCAGCGTGAAATAATAATTTAATGCTGCTGTGTTTCGTATGGTGAGTGTAGAGATCCGAAGACCTTTTTTACTGGAAGCGAGGCATTCCATCTCAGTTCTCAGGGCTGGCGACGCATCTGCATTTTGATTCTTAATCGAGGAACGATGTAGATTTTCAATTACGTCTTAACATCTTAAAAATCTTGTAAAAAGGGGCTAAGATGGAATGCCTCATTTCCAGTAAAAAAAGGCCTTCGGTGATTGATGATGCATTGTCAGCCCTGAGGACTGAGATGGAATGCTTCATTTCCAGTAAAAAGGGTCTCCGGTTCTCTACACTCACCATACGAAACACAGCAGCATTGAGCTGCTATTTAACGCTGGTATTCTGTGAGAGCGTGGTCTTCCCCCGGTCGAGTTGACCCGTTGGTGCTACAACTATAATATAGCTGCAGCATGGCTTTACCACGTTATCGAGAATGCGCAGATGACCTTAATAGCAAAGATGTTGACATGAGACCGACTTAAACTTTTCCGCTTGCTTAGCGACTGCCAGAGCACGTCGACGGCGCGCACTGAGACGCGCCGCCCGTTCCCCAGCAGTGGGCGAACGCACACGTGATCCCACGCCACAGCTGCGTCCCGCACAGATAGCGCGATGTCGACTCATTTTACAGGAGATCAACAGGAAAATGCGCGCCGTCACTTGGCGCCCACCCACCGACGTCTGAACTTGTTAGAATAAAAAATATTGTCTATGGCGTTTTGGCGCCAACAATCCAACAGCTTTCTCAACTGTGTAGATTAAAAATGAATCATGATTGTACTTTCTCATAATTGTGGTTTACAAAATATTCGAAATTTACCAAAAGACTTCTATGTATACTACTTGACAGGCAATTCAGATTAAAAACCGGGGTACGAAAGCCCTCAGTAGCTTACTTTTATGTTGATACTAGCACCATCTCACAGTCGTAAAAATAACTATTTTCTCTATTATTATTACATATTTTTGCCAAAGCATGGCACCACTGCTAACATTTATTATATATACCGAAGCCTAAATCACGCTATCAAAGTTTTGAAATGTTGCAGTATATAAATATAAACATAAATTTTGTCCTGTAAATAATGCAAGACGTCATAGTAATGTAATGAAAACCGAAGAGAAAGTTTTATATATAGCGAATTAATTAATTTCTAACTATGAAAATTTCTTATTATTTATTAAAATATAGAATAATATATACATATATATATATATATATATATATATATATATATATATATATATATATATATATATATGTAACGTAATTAACGCACACCCTCAGACACCCCAATTATGAATTTTTATGCACTGATTATTTATCACATTAGTTATACTAATTCCGGAATAATGTGGTGGTCACATTACAAATCCACCAACGCAAAGACTTTAACGTGTTTGAAATAAAGTTAATTTTTCTTTATTATTATTGAATAACAGAATTAATAATAATACAAATAAAACTGCACTCTTAAAAGTCTTATTGTCTTAAGCTACGGTCCATTTCAGTTTGTTTTAACTGTACAGATTTAGTGTGACTGTAATTTACGTAGTTTTAATTATTTTTGGGATAAAAAATTACCTATATTAAAAATGATAGGAATCGATACAGTAAACGATTCTGAACAAACTGCTTTCTCAAAGTGCGTTATATATTTGTAGCTTTGTAGCTTTATCTAACTGTCAGCTTTGAATAAAAGTAAATAGTAATACCGTTCAATAAGCAGATTTTTTTAAATTTTGGTAAATATGAAGAAATCTGGGTAATTTATTATATTAAAAAATCTAAAATAAAAAAAATGTTGGGAACCACTTTCATTTCGCTATACATATGTAGGTAAAATTTGTTGCACTTTGACTCCTCTGTCACGTCCAGTCAGGAATACGTCGAGTTTCTAGTAACCCTTCACAACTATAGTGCAGATCTTTGTTTATATTACTTATATATTAACTTAAATCTATATATAGTAAAGTCAATATTATATTTTTAAGGCAGTAACAATTAACATAAAAAAATACAAAATTAAACGACTAATAAGACAAACTAGTAAAAAATTAACAATAATCATCGAGGTTTCACAATTCAATGTTCACGACAATTCTTGAGGTTAATTGTTCTTAAACAACATAGGAACATTTTTTGTGAAATTACCTTATTGCTGGAAGATTTCGAGAGCTTTGCATGTTGGCAATTCCTTTAAATAAATTAAAATATTTTATTATTGTATGTTGTAGGAAGGATTAAAGGTAATATCAAACAATATTTGGCCTCGTCTAGAAATACTTGGTGGAGGTAATACTATTTCCACATCATCACGATTCACTTCACACACGTCCTCCACATTCGGATACGTAAAAATCACTTTGTCATCTTTTGCATTTTTCACTTTACTTGCAAATTTTACAGTAGGAGTACTGTTTTTTATATATAAAACACAGCCAAATGTCGCAAATTTTACAACTACCCAGTCCTCTTCTCTTAAATCTACATCGCTTGTAAAATATCACTGAATCCAAAGGGTGCAGTGAAGTTTTTTGGCGCTTGTAAAATGGTATATCGCTGAATCCAAAGGGTGCAGTTAAGTTTTCTGGCTCACAGTTTTCCTTGTTGTCATTCTCTTGTAAACATGTTGATAAATATTCATCAAATTTCTCATATTCCGAATCATCTGTGTTTGCAATACTCGTAATATCCGATTCAGAACTCGTTTCACAACAATATGATCTCAATTTCTTCCGTTTCGCTATCTTTGTTTTTCTTCCATTAGTTACATTTTCCCGTTTTCTTTTATTTTTTTCATATAAGACCACATTACTATTTTCATCGCCCACTTTTTTCGTAAGAATTTTTATCTGTAAAGCTGATTTTCCGATGACTTCAGTACCTAATTTTATTTCTTTCTTGATGTCCTTCATTTGCTTAGGGGTTACTTTAACATCTGAGGTTATTATAGCTTTAGATTTAGATGAACTATTCGTTATTGATCGTAAACACTCTGAAATATAATTTGCATCATAAGCTACAAAAGGCTGATTCTGGCTGTCATTTATCAATTTTTTATTTAATACACAGACACGGTGAAAATTTGGGTCGTAGTGCTGGTTTTTCCCAAGTGATGAGTTCTGAGGTCGACGGCATATCGTATTTAATCGTTTTCTCCCTTCTTATTACTTCACCTGTAATTTCATCTAAGTATATCTCATTTTCTGTATCCCACGATGCTACAATATCTTCTGTCTCTCTTTCTTGGTGGATCTTTATTATATCTTCCTTAGTATTTTTTCTTATAGATGATTTTTTTCGTGTTGTTAGTGGAATATTTACTGTCGAGATATCATCAGCACATACCAACTTTCCGGGTTCTGTGCGTAATTTCTTATTTCTTTTCACTTGCATTGGCTTAGCAGTCCTTGATTCCTTGAGATAATCCAATAAAGTCGTATCAAATCCATATTCTGAATCCTCGAAATACTCTGGGATTCTCTTAAAAACATTTCGTGGATTTACAGGCCATATTCCTGTGGCTCTGAAGCCACTTATTATGTTATGGCTTTCCTTATGTTTCATATTTTCTAGTAATTGAGCCAAAAGTTTTGGAAAGTGTTTTTTGTTCAATGTGGTTTGTCCAGGATTCTTCCATTTGTATTCCAACAGCTGTTGTGTTAGGTGAGTGGAGTTTGGTGGTAAAAATACCAACCTTATATTGTGTTTTTGACACAACTCTACTACTTCAATATTTATGTGGGAAGACAAATTATCACCAATGACCTACTTTTGGCCCGGAAATTTGTCTCGCCCAGTCAACCACTATAGTTTTGAAATAATCTTCGAATGAAGACGTATCAAACCAACCGGATTTCGGACAATTATATCTGGTTCCAGCTGGTCCTCCTTCAAGCCATTGTTCTGAATATAAATTTGAAGCTTTATAAACCACATAATATGTTGGTAGACATGTCCCAGCTGCACTTGCAGTAAACATAATAGAAATGCAACTTTTTGTGTTATTTAAAATCCTTTCATGATGTTTGACGCCCCTTCTGAATACCTAGACATTTTGAAGTGCCTGGATTGTCGGACAAGTTAGTCTCGTCGTAGTTTAGTATATTCATCGGTGGTACACCATTTAGCGTTTCACGTAAATTGGTATAAAATTGCTCCATTTCTTCCAATCCTATCTCGGCCCGTACTTTTTTATATTTTGGGTTGTTCTAATGGTCAATATTGAACGATGTCTGCTTAAAAATCGTTTCACCCAAGTATTACTGGGTAATTTGCCATCGAACAAATCGGTCCGTGAATTTATTCTAGGTATTTATAGACCAACATTTTTATATCCATTTTCGACGGGACTGCCGTAATCTGCTGAAGCTATCAACACATTTGCCAGTTTTTCTTCCTGAGTTTCTTTTGTCCTCCAGCTGGTTTCAAGTGATTTTTTTTTAACTTTAAATAATGTATGAGAAAAAAAACCATTTTTTGGTTTAATAGCATCAAATATAAATACGGTTAACATAATGAGAGACTTGGTACACTGCTTAGTACCTTTAAGAGATAGCATAGTGATACTTTTTTGTATGTTTCTCAGACCATTTAGGGACATTTAAACGAAAATTTCAACGAGATCAGTGTAGAAAAATACAAAGAAATCAACAAACATACAAAAAAACTGAACTTAGTCAAACTAATTATTTTGCAAATAGGTACATTCAATACTTTTTACAACAACGTTTGCTTTTTTATCATATGTATTGATTATTGTAATCCTTTGTATATCCTCTCATTCTGTCAACATTACTTAGGTAGTTTCGTAATTTAACATTGAGGTGACAACCCTATCGGTAATATTTTGGTGGGCAATACTGCTTGGACTGCTTTAGAATAACCAATTTGACATTGCCCACCGTGATATTTTCAACTTTAAGAGAGATTTCGCGTTGGATTTTTGATATTTCTTGTGTATTTATTACAAATTAACAGTGAAAAAAAAAACTTGCTTACCTGCTGTAATTACAAATCGAGTTTTGAAGAAAGTTTTTTGCACGACTTTTGGCCCACAAAATACACCACCAACTTCGACACAGTTTAACAGCCGAGTGAAGTGACGTTAGAAAAAAACAGTTACGTAGTGTTGCCGGAGACGTATTCAAATTTGTTCCATTGATTTAAATAATAAACGCAATTAAAATGTTGCCAGTTTATTTTAAATATTTGCGAAAAGTACTTTGCTGGGCAAACTCAGATTAGTTGGGCAAACTTGTAAGGTTTTTCGGTATTTTGTATATATATATATATTATATATATATATATATATATATATATATATATATATATATTATATTTTTTTTTTTTAATTGTGGCCTTCATGGGGGCCTATGTTCAGCAGTGGACTTCTGAAGAAGGGCTGTAATGATGATGATGATGATGAGTTATCTGAAATAAACTTCAAGTCATGATGACAAAGTTCGCGCAAAAATAATGATAGTGTTTACTTAATCACATTAAACAAAATATATTGTTGACATTTTCGGTTGTTCAAAGAAATAGTTTTCTCGCCAGCTCGCAGTCGACTAAAAAAGGTACGGAGAATTGATCGTAATTTAGTACCGTATGGCCCGTCAAGTAGTAAACATAAAAATTTCTGATTTTACCCAAAATGTCGGGAAAACCTAGATTTATAGGTTTTTAGGGTAACCCGTAACATACACATAAAATCCAAAATTTCTTGTATCGTAAAGGTGTTTACATACAAACTGTAGTCGAATATGGGAAAAGATCCCACTCGAAACTTTTATTTGTAATTAAAAAGTTTATGAAATTATGATCTCATTGTAACCTATTATAAATTAGGTTTTAACACAGTTTTTTGAACTGTAGGTCTAAAGGCATTCTTGATACAAGGAATTCCATTTAAATCCTCACGAAGATCCAGTGATAAATGATGTATCTCGTGACCAACAAAAAAAGATAGAGCAATACGTAATGTCCTCCAAACTGAATTTCGGTCATGGCGGTCAGTCTTCATGAAATCTAAACATCGGGACTGGACAAGATTATAGTGCCCAAGTGTATGCGCAAGAACAGGTGCACTCTTTATTACCTCACTCTCACTCTCATAGTACGATGGCACGGTAATTCGATGCGACCGGATAAGACACGGCTTTACGGAAACACCGCCAACCTGTTGACTCCAGGCTGCTACTGGGTATTTCTTGACAGAAAAGCCCACCGGGATTCGAATCATCAGGAACCGTGTTTACGACGGCTAGGCCAACGTAAGCAGTGAATACAACGTTTTATATTGGGTATGTTCCAAAATAGAACCCAGTGTACTGTTCAATGCAAATGACGTCATGAATCGAGGCTATACTGGTGATTCGTTCCAAAACATAGGACAGTATATGACGTCATACATTTACGCCATATTGGAAAAGTGTAGGAGATTATTTTGTCATGTTGTGCTCCAAAAATCATTATATCCTCCTAATGGAGATACCTGCAATTATTCTACATTTTTTTTGTATTTGAATAAATAAAAACAAATTCTGGCATGCTTCATTCAGCGCACACACAATTAAAAATTGTTTTATTGTGTCCGGATATCCGACGCAATATGGCGGCACGCCAGTACAATATAGTGTCAATTGATGACGTCACTTGTATTCGGCAGTATACTGAAAACGTTTCGGAGCATACCCATTGTTCTTGTTTCACAACTGACGTGAAAACAATATTCATAATTAGAACGTACACTCACTGTATAACCATTAAGCATGGTTTAACAAGTAAACCATTTGCAAAATCAACAGGTGAGTTAGTGCAAATAGTTTTATACAATTGGTGTCATATTTTACAAATTCAAAAATGAAGTAGACATGGGTCGATCATTCATTTATTGTGATCGAATCATTCTAGTACATTTTGTTACCTGTACATTCGGATCGATCATTCAAATAGATCTCTTCGGGCTCCAGTGCCCTACATTAAACACAATTCATTCAGGTCATTTGGGATTCGGACAGTTTTCGACTCATTCACAATTCACACCAATCACGAGGTAAAAGGATTCCGTCAATTGTTAGTGATTGGTTGTACCGGAACATTCAAAAACAGATGAATGAACCATCAATACTTTTATGTGTACCAGCTGAAACGAACGAATCATTCATGATTGACACAATTCTACAATGAAGTTTTATGGTTTCCACCTAAACAAACAAATATTACGTAATAGTAATCTGAAAGAACTTTTAAACACAACATGTTTATTTTTGAACAGTATTTAAAACAAGTTTCACCACCAACGAAATTACGCTGCTTAAATGTAACCAAAGTATAGTATAATGTGGAGTGACTGCCTCGTTGGTCTAGTGGTTGTAGTAGTGCGACTGCTGATCATGAGGTCCTGGGTTCGAATCCCGGGTCGAGCCAAAAAATTAATTATTGAGTTTTTCCGTCAAGAAATTCTCAGTAGCTGCCCGGAGTCAGGAAGTTGGCGGTGTCTCACCCACGTGCCCCGGTAAGCATGTAAAGCCGTTGGTTCTGCGCCTGATCTCTCTCCAGTCGTGTCGGTTTACCGTCCCATCGAATTATGAGAGTGAGGGAGTAGAGAGTGCACCTGTGCTTGCGCATACACTTGGGCACTATAATCCTGTCCTGCGCCGATGGCTAGCCTTTGTTGAGGCCGGCCGCCGTGGCCGAAATTCGTTCTGGAGGACATTATTATAAAGTGAAGTAAATACGTGAATTATTGTGAATTAATCTCTTTCTGGGCTAAATACACTCCAATGCTCTAAAGCGAGATTCCAGGGAAGCCTTAAATTTCCCAAATTTCGGCAAATAGTTAGCACTATCATTGGTAGAGCCATGTTACGAGTACAGATATATTGTGGTTGTAACACGAATGGGTCAATTCGAGCGGATAAGAACTACGTTCTCAAAGAATACCAGCGTCAAATAGCAGCTTAATGCGTCTGTGTTTCGTACGGTGAGTGTAGAGAACCGGAAACCCTTTTTACTGATTTTTATCGAGGACAAATGTAGATGTCTATGGGCCACAAAATCTACTTACCATCAGGTGGACTGTGTGCTCGTTTGTCAGCCCATTCTATAAAAAAATTGAGTATGTTTTCAATGTTAATTGGAATGAACGTAATGTTCTGTATGTCTTTATTTGTTGGTTGAACGTGTAATTATATTTTATTTTTGTTGGTCTAAAGACCATCGCCCACATACTCAACGGCTGCCCAATTTTAAGATGTCGTTAAGTCAAATGCCCCATTTACACTCAGCCTTGTTGGGCAAGGAAGTGGGCAGAACGTATGTAAGTAGGCTACTCGCGCTGTCACTGCCTATGCCGCTGCCGCTGCCCGGCGCTCCCTCTTATGTCGGTTTTTCGCGCGGAAGTCAAAGGTAACGCCAGATAGGGCGAGTGTTTACATTATCGCTTACTTGCCCTCCAAGTTCGACCGAACTTCGACGGCAAGTACGTGCTACGTTTAAAAACGACAATTCATTTATTAATCTGTCTGTGTTTTAATGATATTTATTAATGATGAAACAATTAA